CTGGGCTCGGCTGGGGTGCGGTAACGCCGCGTACGGCTGGGCTCGGCTGGGGTGCGGTAACGCCGCGTACGGCCTGGGCTCGGCTGGGGTGCGGTAACGCCGCGTACGGCCTGGGCTCGGCTGGGGTGCGGTAACGCCGCGGTGTTTTGGGTATATCAATGTATTTTGAAATTTTAGTGAATGTGCGGCGAAATTACTCTGTCACCCTGCTAAGTCTTATCGTTGGGGACCGAATTCATTTTATCGGCAAGATTTCACAATAGCGTAGCGCTGCTTTGGAAGATGCTGTCAGGAAGCCGTGTGACGCGGTGTGACAGTGTGAGATCAGATCGCGCCCAAACCTCACCCTGCCGTTTTAGTGATGATATTCACATATGAGTAACTGCTTAGCAGGTGTCACCACTCTGATGTATGTTTATCGCACCTGTGCTTAGCTGTTAAGTGGTGTGATGTTTGCTGCGTCCTTTATATCACCGGGGACTTCTGTGATTGGGCAGTTTTGGGACTGCCCCACTGAGAGCCTGTAATTAGATTGTATTGAATGGCTGGGTGTTTACTTGCTGTTACAGCTGCCAGCAGGGCGGCGACGTAGTTAAGATCACAGGCCACTCCTGTTGATTGCTGTCACAGAGGCGGCCGCTGTTGTTCCCTTTAGCTGGGACCAGAGTTTTGCTGGTAAAATGGTGAAAATGGGTTTGAGGTTAATGTAAAGATGCTAATAATGTATGAACCAATGTGCCAAAAGGGAGGGTGGACTTTGGGCACCTGCCGCTGCCCGTTCTGGCCCACCTGCGCACCTTCTTCGAGCTGTGGGACTCCTTCGTGCTCCAGGCTGTGCAGACGGGGCAGCCCTACATCTCGGACCACCTGATGTTCGAGGTCAGTCAGACTTGGCCGTAAGCCGTTTCTCTGGCAAAGACATGCGCTGAAATGCACGGGCTCTGACCCGGGTCTCTGCTCCACCCGGGTACCCGGCACGGGCTCTGATCCGGGTCTCCGGTTTCCCTCCCACTGCGCCCCTAGGTGCTGCAGCTCCTGCGATGGCGGGACCGCTTCTGGGACGTGAGCGGCTCCCTGACCGCCGACCCGAAGGCGATATCCATCCTGTCCCTGCACTGGCACTGGGTGCAGAAACACCTCCTGTCCAGGCTGCCCCAGCTGCTGCTGGGGGATCCCGGGTAAGAGTGACCCCCCCCGCCTCTGTCCTGTTTAAACTCACACTGCTGCTGTTAGGGGCTGTTTGAAGCCAGTAGAGATGGTGTCTTGGGCATTTTAAACCTTGTAAGCATCACTTAGCTGTATGTAGTAATGCTTGCATGTGCTGTTCATGTGGTGCTTGTATGTTGCTCTGCTTTGGCAAACAAACACGTCTATTTCCCAGCTGTCAGCCAGAACTGCAGGCGGTATCCACGGCGATCCAGAACTGCTTATCCAGCCCGGGTCTGGTGGCCCCCGCTCTGAAGAGCATCCAGAAGGCACTGGGAAAGCTGTTACCTTATAAGGTAATGGGCCGCCTGTTAATGGCTTCCCATCTATGGGATGTCTGTCGCCGCTGGAGTGTGAGACACTGCAATCCCGCCCCGCAGCTGCAGTCTGTCGCCGAATGCGCCGCCCAGCTGGGGGGGCTCTGCAAGGCCCTGGACCTGAGCGACCTTCGGCTAGATGGCAGCCGGCCAATCGGGGCACAGGAGCTGGCCCGCCTTCGCAGTGCCGCGCTGGGGGCGGACGCCCGGGGGGGCCTGGTGCAGGCCTGGGGCCTGATCTTTCAGGCCAATCACCAGCTGCAGCCACAGCATTCTGGTACGTTCCTTTCAGTTCATCCCCAGATGAATTTGCTCCGCTATACTGCCCCACGAAGGCAAATCACAGCAACTGCACTGATACTGACACTGAGAAAAAGGGCTTCAGTCTTTTGACTGTCGCCCCCTATGTGTGGGCTGTGTTACTGCGTGGCTGTC